TATAGAAAAGGGCATGAATATTATATATGGCCTCACCATTTCGGGTAATTACTCGGTTCACTGTGTGTAGGCAGAGGCAGGGTAACGACGATGGTGTAGTTTACAGTTTAATTTAGGGTTTGTGATGGACTTATAGATAACCCTGGCTAGGGCCTAGGGCTTTTGTTGGTTTAGATTATTGGGCTTTCACCTGGGCCCAATTATCTTTTGGATGGGTTTGAAATGGGCTTGGCCCTTTCAGTAGTATTTCTCTGTTTTCTCCTTGGTTATTTTCTTTTTCGTTTTTCAATTATTTTACATTGAGTTCTTGTTTGGCTGAGCTTTTGAATGCTTATAAGCAATAAATCACAAAGAACATATGCTTAAAAGTATGTAAGAGTCGCGAGTCTAAAAATTTGTGAATAAAAATAGAATTTAACCATATTATAAATAATTATAAACTTTGTCTAACATGCACGCATAATGTTATTTAATACTATTACTAATGTTTAATTTCAATCCAGGTGATAATGGGGATTCACTTGGGCTTGTCAAATGAGATGGTGATACATTTCAACTAATTTGACAAATCTAGGTGGATCTCATTGCCACCTAAAATGATATTAAGCATTAGTTATGTTACATATACAAAATTGGTTGACAAAATAATATTTATACAAATCATTTCAAAAACAGATTTTTAAATCATTTGAAATTAATTATCTAAATTTTGCCAACACTTATTTGTCAACCAAATTTGTAAACATATTTTGTACAAATATCACAATGCATTGAGCATTGATTCCGAGCCTATGTGAATTATGTAAAAAAGAGAGATGTTAATAGTTTACATGTAAAAGAGCTTCTCAAATTATTATTTCAAATTAAGGAGTACTTCATATGATTAAGTTAGGGGTCACCAGAAAAATAAGTCAGAGCTCGAATTGTGTGGACGGTAGTCAGGCCAAGAGCTCGATTGGTGTCCAAATTTCAAGCTCACTTTAATCCTTGGACTGCCGAGCCTCATAATCCCAATCGTGTCTACTAAATGCCTAGTACAAGTAGCATGGTCCTATTTCCTTTCCCCCCACGCAGCGGCACTAATTTTGGGCAGGAAAAATTCAAATTGGAAAGGCAGTAGCAAAATTAGAGCATGTTTGGGAGTGATTTTGAAAATTGATTTTTTGACCGTTAGAAAAAAAGTGAGGTCCATCTGTGAGAGAAGAAGTCAAATATGATAACTGAAATAATAAAATAACGGTCAAAAAATCAAATTTTTAGGTCAAAAAATACTCACAAACAAGCTGTTAATTTCCGTCAAACATTCCAATCATAAAACACACGAAATATGTTAGCCCGTCAGACCCGTTAAACCCTATTTTTAATCTTCCATATCACCTCGATGTTGACGAAGCAACATTGTGGACCATTTACACACAAGTACAGGTAAGATTATTATGTCTATATACGCATATTCATTATATAATTATGCATTTCTACATTAATGTTATTTTATTATTTTTTTTGGGGGATTTGTAATAAATATGTGATCTTAATTAAGATAGTTTTTTGTTCGATTGAAGAAGTTTGCTTATACAGATTGTTGAAATTGAATCTATAACAGCATCGGAATTTTAGTTTATTTATCATTTTTTAACTCTAGTGTTGTTTATTAACGGCAATTGCTAAAAATGATTTTGGGGTGACAGGATGTTTTTCAGCGCAGCTACCGAGGAGTTGGATTCGTATTTTCCTATTAAACCTGAATGCCAAGCTGATGTTCCGAAGACCCGCTTCAAAGCCAGGGTGTGTAAAATGTCACTCTGATTTTTCACTGTTGTTTATTTTTTGTCTCCCTATTTGGAATTTTGTTATATTAATTACATTTTCTCATATCATTTACCATTCCAGTAGCTTATCTCTGACGTGATGACTTATTTTTCGAGAACTAATCTTGAACTATTGACATAAGTTTGTCTAGATAAGTGAGAGAGCAGGAGCACGTTACCATATCCTGCAAAATGTGTGATGCGATTGGCAGTGCACATTTCTTTGCAAGTTTAATTTAGAAAATTTATTATCTTCTGTTTTTGAGGGTGAATTGCATAATGAATGCTAAAACTACCAGTTCTAGGACTTGTCCTCATTGATGTTATTTTATTTTATTATTTATTTATTTATTTATTTTAACCCTGTCTAATGTGCTTCTTCAGTTTTCCACTAATTCTAAAATGTGATCTTGACATGCTTATTCCCTTCTTTCACACTGTGTTGACAGGTAGGGAAAACTCTCAGTCCAAGAAGATGGCATGCCGCATTTTCTGAAGATGGTCATTTGGACATAGCGGGTGTTCTTAGAAGAATCCAGAGAGGGGTAAAGTTCAATTTTTGTTGTTTATTTTCATCTCCAAAGTTGTATAAAGTCAAAAACAATGTTTGCATGTTTAAAACAGTGCCTTATGAGTTAAATCTGATACAATATTGTTTTTCAACAAGCTACATAAGAAACTTCAAAAGGATTGCAAGTTGATATGCATTGCTTTACAGGTTTCTTTTGATTTGTAAGCATAGTAAAATGAGAGGGCGATTCCAATTGGAAAATGGAGTCAGGAAATCATATTTGCTAATGATAGTATTTCTAAATTGCTTGTCATTTTCAAGAACTCATCTTTTTTCCTTTGACTCTGATTGTTAGCTGGAAAGCAAGGTCAATGCCATTTACATTTTAGCAATAAATTTGCCTATTTGAAAAACAAGAACTGAATTACAAATCAACAGGTTGTGCCATTCACATTCATATTCTCCTAGCTTTATATCTGTGCACCATGGAAGATCTGGGTTCTCTGCATGAATTCACGTCAATGTTAAATCAGTTGATAGGGAAGTTGTAATTAATAGTAGTCAATGTAATAAGAGAATGACATTTATCATGAACGAGTCTGAAAAAATCATATCAAGAGAACTCTTTTGTATCTGAAAAGTTATCTGTGGAGAAAAAATTTGTTCCAAAATGCTGAATTTAAAATGTTCAGCTGTAGGTTAAAACCATATTCCAAGGAATTAAAAACGTGTGTCCAAATTTGTACTCCTCGCATAACCGATTAGTGAAGTACATTTGAGAGTGCATAACTTGACTTCGAATTGGATCTGCTTATGTGTGGTTTAGCTGGAATTTTACTTCACAGCAGAAATAATGTTCTTCTGCAATTTATGGAGTCTCCACATGATCATTTGCTTTTAAGATGAAATTTTAATTAGAGGAGCAAAGGTGCTAATGTTCATCTTTTGGCCATACACGTTAGGGCATTCATCCAACGATCAAAGGGGTGGTTTGGGAATTCTTGTTGGGTTGTTTTGATCCCAACAGTACATTTGAGGAAAGGAATGAGGTCAGACAAAAGCGGAGGTAATGTAAGCTATTTCAGAACTACATGCGCAGAACATTTATATGGATTGAGTTGCATTTCTTTGTACTAAGAAACAAATTTAAAATTAAAACTTGAATTGAGTCGAATTTTATTGAAAAGCATGACAGTTCCATTTTGATGTAATTCCCTTTCGATGTAAAAATAAATAAATAAATCTGTGAAATTATTTCACGTGGAGAATGTGTTTTTGTATTTTTTTGTTGTTTGGTCCATATTATGACTTTTCGACAGGTGGTGGGTAGAGGTTAGTGGCAAATGGCAATGCTTGGCTACGAATCCCAGAAACCTCCAAAAGGCTACTGTCCGTGTATTATACTCTTTTTTTGGAAACTTCAAAAATTACTGCTCGATCAATTCAAATTTTATGATCAATAATGTCATATTTACTTCAAGATGTTGTTTACAGAGATCACCTCTTTGCGTACCACTAATAATAAACTTGTTATGATCTTCAGTCCATACTTTTGTAGGGGCAGGATTTACTGACTGACATCCTGTGGTGGCACCTCTCAGTTGCCTTGAAATTAGATTACATTTTATAATCTCATATATAACTTGAACCAGTGAGACTGAGGCCACTTTTTCAACTAAATGAAATACTGACTTACAGTTCAGATATTCTTCAGTATCTTCACCATACTAGGATTTCTTGCTGGATAAATTCTTTGCATATAATTTTGAGCTTTTGTTCTTTTTTTTTAAAAGAATGACGAAAACTTGGATATGTATGGCTCATTTTCTGGGGTATTATGTTTAATTATTGCTAACTACGATTATCTTTCTACGCTCACAGGGAACAGTATGTCAAATGGAAAGATGAGTGTCAAAAATTGACATCTGTTGTTGGCAGTGGAAAGATAATCACCTCACCTATAATTTCTGATGATGGTCAACCAATTCAAGATCCTTCAAACAGTTGTAGTACCCCATATGATAATGGTGCTTTGTCAAGTGTTGTTACTTTGGACCAAAGAGTGATTCAGTGGAAACTTAGTTTGCATCAAATAGGTTTGTAGTTGGGCATAACTCAAACCCCCATGATAAACCAATAGTTATTTAGATTATTGCTGTGCCTACCTTTTTTTTCTTGCATTCTTTTGCATATTTGCTAGTTATGCAATGTGTTCAATTTTTATCCATGTTAGATTCTATAATCTACTTTCCAGTATTGTATTGATGATCTCATAACGTCTCTATGGTGTATTCTTCTTATGTCTAATGTTAATTCTGATTACTTTTATACCAAAAAATCTATGGCATGAGTTATGGAAAAAAAAAAAAAAAAAAGAAGAGAGAAAAATCGTTTTTGTGGTGGTAGAATAACAAATTTAGTGATTTTGAGCTGTTAATGATGATTACTGCAAAAAAAACATATTAGCTACAAGGTCACAAGGACGGGTAGAAGCTTGAAATATACTGCAATATTTTTTTAATCAAAGTAGCTAATATATTGAGGAATTTGAAGATAAATTAACTGAAAGATATGGCATATAGCTTTATTCTTTCAGGTTTGTGGAATATATATCCCAAAGGAAAAACATAGACTTGACTTCTCATATCATCATGGTGACTTTTGTAGACTACAGGTAATAATGCTAAGATTTGTGAGAGTGTTTCTACTCATCTTCATTTTTCTCGTTCCTTGAACTAATTAGAAGATGTTGGATAAAGTACATTTTATCACCACCTACAGGTCTTTTTTCTCCTTCTTCTCCTCATCGTACACTATTGACCAAATTTTCTTGCAGCATGTGCATCTTCTGAGAATGTGGATCATTCTTGAATTATCTTGAAACATATCTCCCGGATAGCCTTGGGAAAATCCTTCTATTTTATAAAATTCCTTGAAGTTGAGCGCTTGAGAATTTGGATTCATGGAAAGGCATCTATTAAGCCAAATATCAGTTGTACATTTAGTCTAAGAGAATGACTCATCAGTATGTCGTTCGTCATCTTGTCCTCATCATCCTTATGGTCAAAAGTTTGTATTGTTGGATTAGTAAAATCCTAGCAAATACCTTCTTATGGAGATTATTGTACTCATATTTTATCCATCTTTTGTTTTTACAGAAATTCAATCGACCAAATTCCAATTGGTGTTGCTTGGGTATCAAGTCAGATGAGTGTGTTACATTTAAGGCTTAAATGTGCTATGAGTCTATTACATTCTTTTCTTTAATGATTTGCCACAAAATTTAAGGAAAAGCTAAAAGAGGTGGAATAGCATTAGTTATGGAGACTCTGTCCTTTTTCAAGTGTTATATCATACCCCCTCTGTCACGAAAACGGCCTTAGAGACTTTTGCTGGTCAGGTTGTTCATTTTAGGTATCAAATTTTCTATTGACAAATTTAACAATTTTAGCAAACGAAATTATAAAATTTTAGTGGCTTGTTCAAATTCCTTTACGTTCATTTTTTCTATTCTAAGTGATTTTTTGATGTGAAAAAAAGGTCATTTTTACTAGATAAAGTCAAGGAGGCCTTGAGGTTATTGCTCAAGGAATTATGATCTCTGATGCTCGGACTCTTAGAAATGGTGAAGGCGCTAGATTTCTCCTCCTCCTTTTTCCTTCTTTTTTCTTTCCCTTTTCTTATTTTTTTTCTTTTTTCCATCAGTGGTTTAGAATTTTATTTGTATAAAATGAAAATGAGTTTCATATAGTGCTACTTAGTACTCCACTAAGTTCAAATTTCAATCAAATTCCTCATTTTCTATTTTATATAATATTTAGTAATTGACTTCCCATAATTAAAAACTATACCTCGAAATTCTATTTTATATGTCTTAACCTCTTATTCAATATTCATTTCTTTCTTTGTGAACAATTGATTTTGATTTATTCAAAATAACATTTTGGGTTAGTAAAAAAATTGAAACTGGAAAGACGTACCCATATACCCGTATTCGAAATTTGGACTCTTTCTAGCCATGTCTCCATATCCTAAATTTAGAAAATAAAAGATCTGATACTTAGATACGTATCCGTACCCGTACCCGTATTCGAGTACGAGCATCATAGATTTCAGGTTGGCTCAGAAAGTTGAGAGTACAACTTTATCTAATCTCGTCCATGCTTAGTAGGATAGAACGGCGAGTATAAAAGAAGAATTGTGGAATTGCTTTTAAATCCTCTCATATACAATATTGATTAGGTTTTCTTTACATCAGATAATCGAAAAAAAGCATGATGTTGGCGACAAGATGAAATTTTGAATCCGAAAATAAGTTTATTTAGGAATTCCATGAGTTAAAAGCTTAAAATGATTATTTGAAATCTTTTTTTTCCCCTCTCTTTAATCAATTTAAGTACGTAGAGATGTACATAAAATATTAATTCTGACCATAAATGATGAAATTCATGCTTTAGGTCTCGATGTTGTTCGCACTGATCGTGCTCTTGTATTTTATGAGAATGAAGCTAATCAGGCAAAGCTCTGGGATGTTCTCGCTGTCTATGTTTGGATGGACAATGATATTGGGTATGTTCAAGGTAAATTACCCGTGTTAACACATTCTTCCACTATGGTTTTAGAGACATCCTACTGCTTCTTTTAAATTTGTTTTATTCCTTGACTAGGAATGAATGACATATGCTCTCCGATGGTTATTCTTCTTGAACATGAAGCTGATGCCTTCTGGTGCTTTGAGCGTGCAATGCGTAGACTGGTGAGATTATGCTGTCCATGGTAAAATATGCATGCATATACTCTGTTATTGTTATCAAATTTTTATTTGTATGGTAGCTATGTCACCCTAGAGTAAATTTTTGTTAACACATCTATTTGACTACGCTAAGAAATAATTAAAACATGACTTCACTCTTATGTTCACCTTGCTATCTAAGAAATAATTTAAACATGACTTCACTCTTATGTACACCTCATTATCACTTTCACTTCTTTTGATGTTGGATCATCGTTTTTCAATTGTCAAAAGTGCAGAGAACACACGAAAAACGTAAAATTGTTACAGTCGTGTGTGGTAATCCATGGTCTCTTACCCGTTTTTGCCTTGTTATTTTTTCTTTGGGTGGGGGACCTAGTGCTTGTGCAATATCGTTGTTTGTCTTGGTAACTTGAAAAATTTGAAGTCCAAAGCAATGCTTTTTACCTAATCATTTGACAAGATATTAGTCTATTTGTTGAGCAGTTGTAATTAAATCTCAATGAATAGTAGAATGGTTTGAGTGATGGTGAATGATACACGTGTTTATCCTAAAGACTCAACACTGCAGCATCTCTAAATAGTTTCCAGCTGAATTTTTCTTTTCCTGATAAATAGGAGTGCTGAACTGCAGCTTAAAAGCTTCCACATTTAGTTACTTGTTACACCGCTGAGTTATCTTGTGGAGTAAATGACTGTCTGAATTTCCTTTAATAATTATTTCGAAGAGTTCTCATTACTAGTAAGAGTGGTGTTTTTTTAATTAATACCAACTTGAATATATCTATTAATAACTTAGCCTTTAAAAAGAGATCAGGTTTTGCTAAATTTAATATTTTCTACCCAGAGATTCATCCCATTAGACCTTGTTTTATATGATGAAACTAAGCCCCTGTTTGGCCCCCACTTTGTGGAAAAATTAATGGGTGGAATAGTGTTTTTTTGAAAAATGAATGGTTGAAAAAAAAGGAAAAGTTTTCGATTTACGTGTAATATTATTTTATGGAAGATTGTGTGGTTAAAAATAGGAGAGAGAAAAATGAAATGTAATGGAATGAAAATTAATGGGGGCCAAATGGGGGCTAAGATTCATGCTGCATATGTTTTGCTTCTCTTGGATTTTTGACAAATTTTCCATTTTGTTCGTGAAGAGGGAAAATTTCAGGAGCAATGCGAGTTCAATGGGAGTGCAAACTCAGCTAGGTACCCTAGCACAAATTATCAAAGCTATTGATCCCAAGCTCCATCAGCACCTTGGTATGTGCTGCTGTCTTAGATAGAAGTTCTCATTCTCTGTGCCTTCTGGTAGCATTTTTATTAGACTTCAAAGTAGCACGGTTAATTTTTCTTTTAGAGTGAAGATGAATCTGTGGTTATTTCTTAACTAATTGAGTTAACATGTATAAATTGATTGCCAAAGTCAGATGCGTTCAAGTTAATGATTGTCCAGCAGCACTAGATAAATAATCGGTTTAACTTTTTAGTTCACCAATGTACCCTGGTAACATTGAGTGGCTTAGATCCTTTGAAAATTCCATGAAGTTGATGATTCAAATATCTATATGTACATTTAGTATCTTGAATGATTTTTGGATATGTTCGTTCCCCTCTCCAGACTAGAGTTAAAAAGTGGCAACATATAAACCCTGTTTGAGTCCCATTAGAACTCAATTTTCCTCTAACTTATTTTCAACCACACATTTTCTCAATAAAATAATTTTTCGCATGAACCTAAAATTTTTCCCTATTTTTTAACCACACATTCTCCAAAAAAATCATTATTATAAAATGTATTTTTCAAAACAATGGGACTCAAACAAACCCATAGAAACATGGAATGAAATGACCAGTCTTCGTTTCCATTTGACAGAGGAGCTAGATGGCGGAGAATATTTGTTTGCAATTCGTATGCTGATGGTGCTATTCCGGAGAGAGTTCTCATTTGTTGATGGATTGTATCTCTGGGAGGTAAAAGAGCAATGATTCCAACTGGTTTTTATGGTTTCATGTTTTATTTTTTAATTTAATTTAATTTTTTGTGTGTGTGTGTGGGTTGCCGATCTGTATGGATTCTTTTTCTTTGGAAACCCATTGGATAATGGAGCTCCAGAGAGAAATTCATCTTTTGTTTTATTTCTATTTTATATTATTATTGTTGCTTATGCAGTTCTATCATTGAGGTAAGGTTTGACTCTTCATATACCATAAAATCATTTTACTAAATGCTATTTTGCATAACATTTTGAATCAGGTCATGTGGGCCATGGAGTACAATCCAAACATCTATTCGTTGTATGAAGAGTCGAGTGATCCAAATTCTTCTCGAACCAACAAAAATGACGAAGCTAAAGTAAACAGAAAGATGCTCAAGCAGTATGGAAAATTTGAGAGGAAAAATGTGCAAACTGGATGGAAAGACCAAAGAGGCGCTCTTGCTGTTTTCCTTGCTGCTAGTGTTCTTGAGACCAAGAATAAGCGACTTCTGAAAGAGGCTCAAGGGCTGGACGATGTCGTCCAGGTACTTGTCCTTGCCTGTAGTATTATTATTATCAGTTAAAGGCATGTTCGGTACAAAGTATTGGATAATTGTGCCTATATTTATCTAGTATGGTTGAGTCGAACATACTGAACTTATCATTAGTGTATCTTGAAATATTGGATATCCATCTTTTAACTTTACAAATGTTTCCTCTCACTAATATTGGAAATAAATGTAGATTTTGGGTGAAATCACTGGAAACTTGGATGCCAAAAAGGCATTGCACGAGGCATTGAAAATTCACAAGAAGTATTTGAAAGTAAGGCTTTACCTACTTCCCAGTTAGTACTTTTGGGTTGAGTCGAACATACTGAACTTATCATTAGTGTATCTTGAAATATTGGATATCCATCTTTTAACTTTACAAATGTTTCCTCTTACTAATATTGGAAATAAATGTAGATTTTGGGTGAAATCACTGGAAACTTGGATGCCAAAAAGGCATTGCACGAGGCATTGAAAATTCACAAGAAGTATTTGAAAGTAAGGCTTTACCTACTTCCCAGTTAGTACTTTTACAATTTCCTTTATTTTTAAGCCTAGGTCTCGCCCTCTATCCCCACCCCGATGTCATCCAGACGATCTTTTCTTTTGGACGTCTTATTGCAAACTGTCGAATGCAGGCAAAGAAACCATAATAACCACGAAGCCAACAAGGGAGCAAGAATTTCGTAAGAAGTTTTTGGCGTTTGTTTTTACCTAATTTTGCTGAGTGAGTGACAGCAATTCGTTGCTTCGGGTTCCTATTAACTCCCATTGTCTTGTGATAAAAGTGCTAAATTTGTTTGTATATAAGATTTTGTGTTGAGAGTTGAAGCATGAGCTCAGTGCATTGTACAATAGCTGTTCGTAAAAGAAAGGCCTCACTTATTGGGCCCCCATTATAGACATGTAAAATGAACTAATATGCAATTTTGATTGCTTTAAATTGTTCTTTTTTTGTAAAATTTGGCAGGGTTCATTCAAGAACTGATCACATTTAGGGTATGTTTAGTCTTTGTTTGGTGCTCATTTCTTAATTTTTTTTTTCAAATTAATTTTCAACCACAATTTTAAAGAGATTCACAACTTTTATCGTTTTTAAGTACAGATTTCATAATCTTTTATCAAAATTTATTAAATATTTGATTTCTAGCAAAATTAAACATGTGCTTAATGTGTAATACTCAACGACATTAGCTATAACAAAAAAGCGTGGAGGCCAAATAAAACACAAATGGAAAAAGTTTTTGTTAATTTGGTAAATATTATCGTTTCATTTATTTCATTGAATATTAAGCTCTCCTTTGATAGGGATTAAAATTATATTTTCAGTAAATTTTGATAAAAGTTGATTAATTATGTGGTTGAAAAATTGTGAATCTCATAAAAAATGAAATTAAAATTAAGCATTGATTTTAATTTAAAGTTTTGGATTATAATTTACACCAATGCTAAAGTGACGGAGTTGGGGACAAGTATATAAATGCATCTCAGCCCTTGATTTAAAATGCATCAATCCAAATCAAGGACTGAGATGCATCTGTTTATATACCCTATCACCAATCTTGTTAGTCTAGTAGAGCTCTATAGTTCAACCAAACGGAGGCTAAATCTTGTTACATTTTGTTTAGTCGGTGAGGGAAATCACCATGCGACGTTTATTATGTAGTTTTGACAATTCATGAATCAATGAATGTTTTCGCTTGTTTTAACAACTAGTGTAGACCGTAGCATTATCGAACTAACGGAATGTCAAAGTCAGGCATGAATCTCTATTTAGAAAATCTGAAAATGTATGACAGTAATTGTTTAGGTTAAACATCAAAATATAATCCCATATATAAAAATATGAGCTATTTATTTGACAATATTGATCTTTTAAAATGAAACTCTATATCTTAATAGTAACATGGTATAACAAATGGATTTTACATTCGACGAGATGAGTGGATCAGTAGGAAAGTTAAATAGCAATTGACATAATTAACACATTATTTGCGCCTTTAATTACTTGAAAAATAGAGAAGAATTAGTAATTTTATTTTACAATGCCACCAATGTAAAACTACAAGATATATCCAATAATTCAAATTAGACACGATGAAGGAATGAAAGTATCAAGACTGATCTCCTGCCCATAATGGAAGATATTTTGCCCACCGATGATCTTGCCACCTCACTAGTGGACAAGTCATCAATCCTATGAAAGATATATAGCAATGAATAGTCAAACTATAAATATGCTTCATATGAGAGAAAAATGATATAATTTGATATTAAGGATCAGGACTGAACAACACGTAGAACTCACAGGTTAACTGATAATACTAAAAACTCGAATAAAGAAAAACTTAATGTTCACTTCCTTTATTACAATCGAGATTGATTAAAAGCTTCGCCAGACATCAATGGAGACAACAGATTTGTTTTTGGTTGAATGCCTTCTCAAGATGATGAATAAGTATACATAAGATTTAACCTCAAAAAACCATAGAGAAAAAATAGTATGCTCAAACAATTTAGAGAAACATAGACAACGAGATTCTCTTAACTTGCCGATGCTTTAACCGCTTTCTCAGCTGCATCGTCCAGATCTTCAGCAGTAATTAACTTCATGCCACTTTCCTGTTAACGCAACATCAATTGTAAAAATAATGGTGTATTAAGCTTCGTGCTCATTCAAAATTAGCTCGAGATTTGAGTTTATATTCACCTTCAGAATTCTCTTTCCCTGGTCAACATTGGTTCCTTCAAGACGAACAACTACAGGAACTTTTAGTTGAACCTTGAAAGGAAACCCAAAATAGTTAGAATTATGCACTGACTCCCTTAAAAAGCGGGTTAATGAAATTCAATACGACTCTGACAACTCCATCGGTTGATAAATTTTGTACGAACTCAGCAAATCAAATATTGTATTCTTTCTTTCTTTTGGAGTTAAAAATTTCTGGGGTAAATATGACATCCAATAAAAGAGAAGGGCAAAAGATGGGATGACACAATAATTAAGATTTAATGATCAAGAGAAAGGCTAAACATGAAAGCAATGAAGGGAGGCATTTAACTGTCAGATGGAATTTGAAATGAAAAGGTCAGACTCTACAAGAGTATTTTACATGTACATGAAGTCATAAACCAATGCAAGTCTTCACCTGTTTAGCAGCATTGACAATTCCACTGGCTATTACATCACACTTCATTATTCCTCCAAAAATGTTTACCAATATAGCCTTCACCTTCTCATCTGATGTCAAAATATTGAAAGCCTCCACAACCTGTTAAAAGCAATTAAAATAATCCAATTTGAAACTTCAAATAATAAACAAAGATTTCTGTTCAACTAGCTATTTCTCAAACAACTGAAAACTCGTTTATTAGTTAACTAGAATCGGCCGAGGAAAATATACAAGTTAACCCACATGTATGCTTGATACCAATTCAAAGCAAAATAAACAGAGATGTTTTGCAGGAGAAAGAAAATCGGAGGAACCTGGTTTTCAGAAGCATTTCCACCAACATCAAGAAAATTAGCAGGAGTTCCTCCATGTAGCTTAATAATATCCATGGTAGCCATAGCCAATCCAGCACCATTAACCATACAACCAATTTCTCCATCTAAACCAATGTAGTTCAGGTCAGCTTTTGCTGCAGCAACCTGACCATTTATTGACAAGTAAAGTTCAATAACAAGGTTTATAGGCATCTTGAATGCTGTGAGCATGCATAAAATACTATACCAAGGTTCATTCATAGACAAAATAAATCATGGAAAATACCTCACGAGGATCCTCTTGTGTTGGATCTCGAAGTGCAAATATTTCTTTCTGACGGAAGGCAGCATTATCATCAAAGTTCAGTTTCGCATCGGCAGCTACCAACTGTTTATCAGAAGTCTCGGCTATGGGATTGATCTGCCCAAAAAATTGTTGTTCCATTTGAGACATAAAACCGGAGTTATAAAAGCTTATGCCCTTTATAGACCTAGAGAATATAAAGAAATCAACAAAATAAAGGAAACCTTTCTGAGAGAATGCAAATTAGATTTCTTACTTCCAACATTGTGCAGTCACATTTGCAGAAAAGATCGTATAACTTCTTCACTTGTTCAATTGAAGCATTTCTGTCAGCCACCTTGGGAGACAAACCATCAACCACCTTGGCAGCATCCTCATCAGTGATTCCTGTGAAAACATCAATAGGTACCTGGCCAAAGAACAGAGTTCTAATTAGTAAAAAGTAATCACAGCCAAAAAGCAAAATTTCCACAGCCAGCCAGCACTCAAAGTAAAGTTGGAGAGAGCAACCTTAATGATCAACTCCGGATGTTTCTCAGCAAGATCTTCAATACTGGTTCCTCCCTTTTTACAGGCAATAATAAGCTGCAGAAATGACAACACCCATACAATAATTAGCATCCTAATATATTTTTTCGGGTCAATAGAATCTTCAAATAAATCCCACACTGCGAGTAAGAATAGTCAAATTATCCCTAAATAAATAAATAAATTTCAGTTGATTATAAATACATAACACGACATGAAATTTCAAATACATTTTCTTTTTACGTTGCGTCAATTACATCCTGAAACTCATAAAATGTCCATCTAAGCAAAGCACTCCTGAAAAGCAAATGCTATATGAAGGTTAGATGAGAAAAATTAGTTGGAAACTAGATCAATTTTAATGAGATAGAGATACCATGAGATTCATCTACAGCTACTCAATGAGAACACTAAGACAGACGCATTCAGGATAGTCAATAGATGACAAAATTAACAAAGGATTCTCGGCAAATAACACACATCTCTGAGTATAAAAGTTGTGGGTCCCATGAAATGTGAGGTTGAAAATGAGTATGGAGAAAAATGAGTTTTAAGAAATGGGGATCATACAGGGGCATAATCTGTATAAACCCAGTACTAAAGCAATAAAGTGCAAGACATTAGCACATTTTGAGCAGCTTCACTGGTTGTAAACAGTGACAATTAGGTAGTCCACAATTTTTGGGAACTTACAGGACCAGCACTTTTACGATCAAGAGTGATGGCAAAGTACATCTCATTCACAAGGGACAACTTTTCACACAAGTAAACCTGCAAGAAAAGTTACATGTGATGACTTTAGTATAGTATCTCACTAGGGCAAAATAAAGAACTGAAACTTTTAAATCCAGAAAAAGTGCATTAGACTTAACTAGGGATGTAAATGGAGTATGATCAAACTATTGATTATCTTCAAATACTTGTATTAATAAGTGGGCATGTATGACTTCCGTGTCCAAGTAAAAGTATAGAGGCGATCATAATCATGCAAACTGTTGATGGCAAATGAGCCATATACTCAATGGCTACAAATAATAAGCCACAAAGTCCCAATTAATTTGCAAAAACAAATAGGAATACATAAAGTGAAGCACAGAACAAACAAACTAGAAAAAGTTGTGATGTTTAAATAAATCAAGTTTGCGATCATGGTTTTGAGGCAAAAATGAGATAGAAATTGCAAGAATTTCTACTACTACTACTCCAACCATAAACCCTGCTACATACAAATTCCTCTAAACCTTCAATATCCAAACTTGAAAACCTTTTATATCCTCTGCTCACCAGTTGGGTTGAAACCTAGATACATACTGGAAACTGGTAGGTCCAATCTCATTTCATTAACAAAATCAGAGTCCCATTCACACCATGTTTAGTCCAAAACCAGATTGTTCAAGCTGGTCATCAAAACACAAAACATCTCAACATGCTATTCACAACTCCTCTGGCTAAAATTAAGAAGTGTTTATATTGTTGCAACAACGAAAACAGACCAATCCAAATATGTTCCTGATGTAATATTTCATCTTTAGGTGGCATTTTAGAGATTGGCAGGTTACATGATTATACAAACACCTCTATCTATCTATCTATCTATCTATATAACTATGTGTATGTATATGTTTTTTACAGTTCTCAGAAGATCAAAAAAAGTTCATACCGTGTATGATTGTATATATGAAAAAGTCGGGTTTAGTTCTTAGGAAATGAAATTTTGCAAGACATCATTGCTTCACAATGTTTATCCCAGTCATGCTACTACAGATAATAAGCAACAGCACCAAAAGTTCCTCAACAACTAGAGATGACAGAAAGTATGTATGTTTGACAAAATATGCCCCCTGACATTATACTTGCGCATGTCAATTGAGGATATGAGCATGCACTTATAAAAATTTGTAATATACAGAATAAGTAATCAATGCCAAACCTTGCTAACAATTTTTCCTTGGGGCCCAGTTTGCTTGGTGACAAGTATCTGGCCTAGCATTTTCCCTGCCACAACGTATAAAAATCTTCAAAAGTTAGTTCCATAATATGCATAATTTACTTCAAACAAAATAATACTTTATTACAGTCAAACTACAGCTGCTTCTGAGCAGAAACATCTTTTCTACCATTCTTGTAACTTTCTGACAGAAGCTATAAGGTTTATATTCACTGACAAGATGAACTAACAGTATCACTGGATAAATGAATCCATTAGCTGTTTATCACACAAGCATGTCAGCCCACCCACAAACCTAACCAAACCTCAAGCAGGAAAGCACCATGGGAAGAGAATATGGCCATGAAAGCAGTAGTTGCATGGCCCAGTAATCAAAACTTCTGTAGGTAAACAGATGATGAAATGTTTTATCTGTTTCTTTTTGGTTTCTCAATGGAAGATATATGAACAGTTAACCCATATCCTAGGAGAATCAAGTTAGAGATGGCCAGAAGTTAACTCATCCCTAAGTGGATACGTAAAACACAAATTATAGTGCTTCCATGAAACCCTTGTGAAAATGCAAGAGATTGTCCGTCATACCAGCTACATCTACAGCCTGGTCAGTCTTCACAATGTGAACTCCACCCTGGAAACCATTCTTGAATGTTCCCAAGCCTCGGCCACCGGCAAGGACCTGGGACTTCACCACCACCTGCATCACTTATGATTTAAGTATATTCTCGTCAAAACAATTACTATTAGCAATTGCAAGACCAAAGGTAAACCATAGAAAGTCCAAGTAATATTATATCCATAACTACCCAACAACTTTCTAAGCGTCCTCAACCTACAAAGAGTTAAAAATCGAAACTTTGCCTGAATTACCTCACTCTGGTTGGGGAACACATCACGAATTGCCTTTTTTACTTCATCAATAGACCCAGCTGCCACGCCTTTTGGAACATTGATTCCATGTTTGCTCATCAAGTCCGCTCCCTGATATGAAGAAAAGTATATGCACATTAATCATTTCGATACAGTGCACAAAATACACTGGCAGAAATGCCAAGATCGTTGATCGAGAATTGGGATTAACTATAGCTCTTTTATCCATAATTCCATCTGTTCACCTTGTATCAGCAAAATCGCCAAACCAATCGCACCAAAATTTTTAAGTCTAATGATCTTTTCTCAAGCACAGATCAAGCATATTTTATATCCCAAGACGAAATACGACAAATAAATTCGTAAACACACACACACACACACACTCTTCTGAACGAGTGAGTGTGTGTGAGGAGTAGAGAGCGAGAGTCCAAGAGGCGGTACCTGATACTCGTGGATGTTGAGCCGGCGAAGCTGTTGTTGCTGCCATTTCCCGGCTACGGAGAGCGAGCGACCAGCGAGTTTTCCCAACAATCCTCTCACCATTTTCCGGCAACTTTTCAGATCCTTCTGAAGTGTAAATGGAGACTCGAAAAATAATTTGCAAATAAATGGAATCGCAACCCTAAAATGCGAGCGATAGATTAACGAAAGCGCGGACCCTAATACTATAATATTCTCCGTTGTTTCTTTCTCGCCCTTCTAATTTTCTAGTTTTTCTTTTCCTAAATTCAAAAATATATAAATTTTTAGAGAAAATTGCAGCCGAAGTACCAAATCTTTAGTTTATTAGCAGACTTTGTCCAAACCTTTGGTTTGTGCCACCGTAAGTACCAAACTTTTAAAAAATATGCAGTTCAAATCCAAAATGACGGTTTCCATCTGTTTGACCCCAAAATCAGTCAGTTGACCCCAAAAATTAAAAATCTGATTATTTTTCTCAAATACAGCAAGGGCAATTTGGACATATCACATTTTCCCTATTAAATTAAAAATTAAAAAAGCAAAAAGAAAAACCATAACCCCCCACCCCATCTCCTTCTTCCCCAATTGGATGATTACCCATGACCTTTACCAGTAGAATAATGGCACAATTGGATGATTACCCATGACCTTTCCATCACCAATTAAAGTTTGGATAGTCGAATTGAACAATTGGAGCAACGTAGAAACATCAAATTCCCTAGAACTGAAGTTATCGCACACAGCCCTAATTGCACCCATGAATTTGCTCAATTTTGGACCAAATTGGACTTGACCCATGGCTGGGCAAGGTGCACCAGGTGGAGAGGAGGTTAGCCATGGTGGTCTGCGCTCATGGGTCTACCGGACGACACCGAAATCTGAGATTTTCGGACCTTGTTGCACAGGCTACGCGATCGCGACTAGCGATTTTGTTGTTGTTAATTCCATGTGTTTTTGTACTGTTTGGAATTGATTAGGACAATTGTTGGAGTTAGATTTGGGTGGGCAATCGACCTGTATTGGGTTCCGATCAAGAAGATGACCGGAGGTGGTGATTCAGGCAGTTTCATCAGCTGACTTTGTTGATTAATTGCGACTGAATCCACTGATTTTATTGGGAGATGATTGGTGTTAATTGAAGAGGAGGTCAAGGGCTTTCCGATGGTACCAATATTCGATGGTCGGAAGTCATCGGAATTATGCTCCAACTGTGAGGGGGTTGGGGAAGAAGGGGATGGGGTGGGGTGGGGGGGTTTGGGGAATATTCACGATGGCACAAATCAAAGGTTTGGGTAAAATCTGCTAATAAACGAAAGGTTTGGTACTTCGGTTGCAATTTTCCCAAATTTTTATAATTCAAAGTTTTGTTTTATCAATTTCTGTCCTCTGTAAAAATCACTAAATTACCGAAATTACAAATATATTACATTTTGAATACTTGTACGATTGCACCCATCTCGTGAAGAGTATTGAGTTTTATGAAATAAATGAATGATAAGTACGAGATTATGAAAATTAGCCATGTAGTGTCACTCCATCTATTTTTCGGCAAATGTTCGGTAGCCATGTAAAAAATTATGAATTGGTATAAATGAGTGTGCCCAAGTGATTATTAGTTGTGGATTGTAAGAAATATATAATTAGAATTAATATTTAATTTTCAAAAGTAACTTATAGGTGCGTTTATAAAAACAAAAAAAGGTTTAGTGCCAAAAGTGAAATATCCATAAAACCTTTTAATTAATTAATTAATTTATTTTGTGTGTGTGTGTAGAATATACTTATAAGTTACTTTTGAAAATCAAATATTAATTTTAATTGTACGTTTCTTACAATTCACAACTAATAATCACTTATGCACCACTCATTTGTACAAATTCTTTACCAAAGTTTCTATATATTAATCGCAATTTTTAAAATGTATTCATTAATTTCTGTATTTTTTTTTTGAAAAATTGTCAATTTTAATTTTAATGTTCAGAGAATTTGGGTGCAACTCATACAAGAATTAATAAAATCAAATGTACATGACAAACTATTGGTCGTGGAATAACTAACAAAACGTAAAGTACATCTTTTAAAGTCGAAACTAAAAAATTTAGACTGTAAACAAAAAATTTAGCAGCAGGTAGAATTTGACCAAAATAATAGCTCGTATTAATATTTTCAAATCTTGCTTGTTTTTCACCTTTTCATTTTTTTTTTTGACTTTTCAACACTATTATCTAATTCTTGAAAAAATTTCTTTTTCTAAGCCTATGTTTGATTCGGATTAAAATATGGTTTTAATTTAAATTAAAGTCAAAATCAAATAATCAATATTAACCATATCTTTTATATGTCACATAAATTTTTAATCACACATTTCAAAAATTTCTATCAAAATGTATCAAAAATCTCATTTTAATCTCCACCAAACGTTCTCTAAATTTGGTTTTCTCACAAAGTTAAGGGCATGAGCAGATTGACTCAATGCTCCAAAAGATGAGTAGAAAATTTTTTGACCCAACTTGTCGAAAAAATTTCATCAACAAATTTGCGTCTTGCTAGTGTTTGGGCAATTTTTTTTCGTCCAAAACCTATCCAGCTTAATGTAAATAAATGCAGCTAAGTGTCCTCCGGGGCATAGTCCAGTGATGCAAATGATAGGAGTATGGTTATCTCATGCCTTGCTAGCAGTCGCAGTGTGGGGGTTCGATTCCTGAAACATGGAATTTGACTCCTTGTAGGCGCAGTGTACAGATAGCTCTTGTTCCCTGACCTGTTGGGACACATTCAGCGATTT